TTGAGTTAGTGCTTTAGGGTTAGGGGACATAAATATTTGAGTTAGTGCTTTAGGGTTAGGGGACATAAATATTTGAGTTAGTGCTTTAGGGTTAGTGCAACTGATATTTAGATTAGTCCTGCCCACCACTGCATAGCACCCATTTCCTGACTGAGCTGGATGTTTAGTTCTGGTTAAAAGATTACAAAGTATGTAAAATTATCTGAACTGACAAGATGGAAAATCAAAACAACAGTATGACTGCTGAGTCAGCGTTTACACCATTATTTAAACGATTTGTTTTGAAGGGCGATGTGGGCAAGGAGATGTACATCATTAAAGATGGCCGCCTGGCGGTAGTGGGCGATGACGGAGTCTCCCAGTTTGCCGTTCTGACGGCAGGAAGCTGCTTTGGAGAGATCAGTGTCCTGAACATCAGCGGCAGTAAGATGGGGAACAGACGCACAGCAAACATCAGGAGTCTGGGCTACTCGGATCTGTTCTGCCTGTCCAAGCAGGACCTGATGGAGGCACTGCAGGAGTTCCCTCATGCCCGGGCCCAGCTGGAGCAGAGAGGGCGGGACATCCTGCAGAAGGAGGGGCTCCTGGAGGAAGCCAACGTGTGTGTGGGGGAAGAGATGGAGGAGAAGATGGAGAGGCTGGAAAGCAGTCTGGATCGCCTGCAGGTCTGCTCCTTCAGCTGCTCTGACCACACTTCACCTGTTTTCATCCATTATCAGCTGAAAACATCTGGAGCATTGATGCCACTTGTCTTTATCGTCTCTGTCAGACCTGTTTGGCCCGTCTGCAGAGTGAGTTCAACTCGTCCCAGCGTMGACTGAAACAGCGCCTGACAGCCCTGGAGCACAGCGTTCCAGCAGTGGTGTCAGGCAGCGGCTTCCTGTCAGAGGCTGACGGCACTGAGAGCCTTCCTCCCTGTGAGGCCGTCCGCAGTGAAGTCAGCATCAGGCTCTGAGGAGTCCTCATCACTTCTGCATCCTTCAGTTACCTGTCCTGTTTCAGATCTGTCCACCTGTCTGCAATTTATTTCTTCTTCATGGTTCAAAACTAAAACAAGAACATTTATGACTTTGATAAAAATTCCAACAAACAAAGTTTTTTCTAATAATTTTTCCTACATGTTTCACTAAAACTTTGTTCCTGTCAATGTGGAAMTAACATTTTATTTTTCCATATGAATGAATACTAATACTAATCTTTAAT